GCAACTGTTAACAAATTCACATGCATGAGTTCCGCAGTGACCTTGAATATGCTCGTACTGGCAGCTCAGAAAAATGCAGAAAAATTATATAGGCGGACGAATGCAACTTTGGAAGTGTTTACAGCAAAGCACTCAGCATTGGTCAGCTTTAAATGACAGCTAGCGACTTCAAAAGTTGGTTTGACCAATGCTGCATTGCTTGGTGATCAATTTTTTAGCTGTCCTTATGTTCGTTCGTCTCCCGAAGGGATTTCCATTGCCTTAGCGATCGTTCCGTTAGATGCAACTGGCAAGGATTTATCCAACTTGCGATGTCATTGGTTTTATGTTAAGCATCATCGCTTCGTCTAGTTTTTAGTTGCCATTTCAAGAGCACCATAATGAAATACCCAGGTTGAAACGCAACAGGCATAGTAACAAGTTGTCGAGTTAGCATAGTACCAAATTGGCGTGGCCGTATGCGCTGCACAAGCATGCGCGATAGCTGAATTTGAAAACTTTAGCTCGCACGTCCACAGAGAATACCTCTGCAAATTTTCAGCTCTGTAACTCGCCTGATTCGCGAAATCGCTTCCCGCCAAAGAAATTTACATATTTTTTTTTTTTTTTGGGAGGGGGGGGAGGAATCCGTACGCGAGGTCTAGGCGCATGTGGGGGAAGATCTTAAAACGGAAGGGTGACATACGAGGTAGGAACATACACCTGAAATTTTAGCCTCCCAGCTTTCCTGGTTGCTGAGACGAAAGTGGGTGACAAAATGCACTCGCTTCAGAACACACACAGACATCCTCTCGACAATATGCGTTTTTGATGGCCGTAGCAGCGCCATAGTAGTTCAGAGAGATGAACTTAGCAGAGATACTCGGAAATATTCCGAGAGGTAGCGCACGCCAATATTGATCACCTGCTGACAGCGCTGCCGATGGCTCCTTCTTTCAAGAGTTGCTTATAAGCAAATTTGGCAGTTCATTTTTCCATATTCATGCCAAATTCAACAGTACCAATAGAGCCTTGTTCCTAACTTTACAAAAATAATTCCTGGATCTCTGTCGTGTCAGTTTAGAGAGATGAACTTTACATTTCTTGTAGCATTTTCGCATAATTTGTTTACAGGACATCAGACAGCCAAATTCCATTCTTCGCGGATATGTTCCTTATTATTGTCATCGTTACATCGATTGGCAGCGTTGTGCTATACATTGCAGTATATGCTATGACTCGGAAAAATGTCCGATCTGCACGAAAAATACAAATGGTCTGAAGTTTATGAATGAAATATACCTTTCTTATAAAAAGTGAAACAAAGACGGAAAACCACAAACTTGGTGAACTATTGGTTTACCTCATGTTTTGCTGCTCAAGTGGTGCTATTTCCGGTATATTAAATTTGATGTTTTGATAAGTTCCACTCATAGTCTGGTAATCGCCAACTACGCAACTGCCATTTTTCCAGTTGCTGTCTGACTGGATGGATCGGAAAAGGCTTATACTGTGCTACACAATACTGTTATAGATTTCTTGTAAATTTTTTTCCTTAAATTATTTACTCAGTTCGTCCAGTGGAGGTTAGAATTACCGCTATTTGCTCATTTGTATGTGCAAAAATAATTCTG